GCGGCGGCGGCGGCGAAGAAGGAGGAGGAGGAGGAGGAGGAGGAGGAGAAGGAGGAGGAGGAGTAGGAAACCCGGAAAAGGGGCCGCGCTCACTAGGAGCGGCCGCCGCCCGGCCCGGGGCCGCCCAGCCTCACAGCGCCCCCTGCAGCGCGGGGGGACCGGCCGGGCGGCGCCGGCCCCGCCCCCGGCCCCGCCCCCGGCCGCTTGCCACCCGGAGCCCCCTCCCAGAGCTGCCCCGCCGACTTGCGGCGTGGTGCGCCCGCCACAGGGCCTCCCCCACCCGCGGACGGCTGCCTTTGAGACTTGCGGGTCGTGGGCCCTTTCAGGACTGTCCTGGCGACCCCTACCTCAAGCCCTCCACCCTGTCGTCATCCAGAGTTTGCCCGCCCCGTACCGACCCCGTTCTGACCCTCCTGTCAACCAACCCGTCCCCATCAAGCCCCTCCCAAATTAGTCACTCTTACCACTGAGAACATCCCCCACCTCAAGATTTCTCCCTCCCTCCCGGAGACACCCCCTCTTTCTCCGATGGACCCTGCGCTATCACCCATGGATTCCTCAACCTCAAGACTTCCCCTTCGCCCTTCAGCCAGAGCCTTCCTCACAAAACCTTTCTCTTTCACTTGCCCCTAAATCCCTTCCAGAGCCTTCCCTGAGAACCCGTTGAATGCTTACTTCTGTCACTTGGTTAAGCTGGAGTGGGCCAGGTAGCTCGTTGTAAAGTTCCTATTTTTCCCTTTGAAATTCATAAGCAGTCTGTGGGGAGACACTTTGAGACTCTGAAAATGTCCTGTTTGGGGGGGGAAGACAGAACGGAAGAAGAATAGTGAGTCCTGCCTGAAGGGACCGGCGAGCGGTTGGGCATGGATTGAGGGTGAGGTGGCCAACCAAACTTTGTCCTATTTTATTATGTTGCTTTTTAGCTCCTAACACTCTTCTCTCTTTGATCTTCTGGGCCTTTCTTTTATCTTGCTTTCCCATTCCATATCCTTTAGCAACAGCACTTCCCACTCAGCCTGGGTTGCTCTGACTCCAGTCTTTTTTTTATATTGTTTTCTAGGTGAGACCCTGCTTCTCCTTCTTGATATAGTTGAGAGCATAGGCTGTAGAGTCAACTCCATCCTAGCTGGTGCTGCTTATAAACTGTGTGACCTTGGGCTGATAACGTAGCTTCTCTGTGCTGCAGATTTTACAGCATAAAAACAGTAATGGCCTTCTTCACAGGGCTATAGGGAGACTTAGACGAGGCAAACCATGTAAAACACTTAAAACGAAGTGCTCAGTACCATTATTAGCAGACCTGGAGGCTTTTTCCTATCACTTTTCCCTCCCTGAGACCACCACGTGGTCAGCTTTTGGTTCCTTCCACCCTCCAAGCTTGGCCATGGCTGCCTCCTCTCACTCCATCCCCACCTTTCCCATGCCTGCCTTCTTTCTCCTCCTCAAGTCTCACCTTTTAGGCTCATTTTATTTACTTGGGTGTAGATTATATCTAGTTGTAAACAGGGAACGGCGTGAGCTCAAGGTCCTCCTACTCCGCCATCTTCCCAAACTCTAAGTTCATTTTATAATTTTTTAAAGAAGTTTTATTATTTTTTTAATGGATTTTTTTTTTTTTATTTAGGTGCACCTGGCTGGCTCAGTTGGAAGAGCATGCCACTCAATCTCAGGATTGTGAGTTCGAGCCCCACGTTGGGTGTAGAGATTACTAAAAAATAATTTTTAAAAAAACTTTAAAAATATATTTATTTATTTATTTGAGGGGGTGGGGCAGAGGGAGAGGGAGTGGGAGAATGTTAAGCAGACTCCTGGCTGAGCGTGGAGCCTGACACGGGGCTCAATCCCGCAACCCTGAGACCATGACCTGAGCTGAAATCAGGAGTCGGACACTCAAGTGACTGGGCCACCCAGGCGCCCCATATTAAAAAAAAATTTTTTAATGGATTTTTTATTTAAATCTGTACTTTTTTTAAAAGTAAGCTCTACACCCAACGTGGGGTTCAACTCAAAACCCCAAAATCAAGAGTCACATCTCTATAGACTGAGCCAGCCAGCCAGGCACCCCTTTAAGTTCACTTTAAATGGTAGAGTTGATACTTCTCTATCTTAGCACGCTATCCTTCAGAAAACTGCTTATTTTGTAATTGTAATTCTTTCTCCTCCAGTGTAAAACAGCATGAGAGCAAGAACTGAATCTGGATGCTCACCACTGGCTCACCAGCATTCGCCACATTTAAGGTTTTCCACGAATACAGTGTAACCCCATAGATCACTGACTAATTAGAAAGTGGAGGTCACTGCTTTAACCAAATTTAAGACAAGTCAAATTTAACATCATCAGTAAGGGATCAACAGACCCTGTGATGTGATGCACCAAGAAGGGACATGGCATCTGCCCAAAATGCTTACCTTGAATCTCATTATGAGGACACAATCAGACAAATCCAAACTGGGAAACATTCTGCAAAATAGCGAAGTCTGGTACTCTTCAAAACTGTCAATGTCACAAGAGAAAACAACACAAAAGAAAACGAAACTTTGGAGCAGTGCTCTTGACTAAAGGAGCCTGAGAGAGAGAGAACTGTGTAATTCTCGATTCAATCCTGAATGAGAAAGGTAAGAAGGAAAGGAGGGAGGGAGGGAGGGAAGGAAGGAGAAATACAGCAAAAAGTACCCAAGCGAATGGGACTACTGGGGCAATTTGAATATAGGATGTATATTACATAATAGCATTGCATCAATGTTAAATTTTGTGAGTGTGAGGATTATCTTGTGGTTATGCAGGAGAGTCTCATGATCTTAGGAGTTACATGCCAAGTGTTTAGGATGAGGTATCATAATGTCTGCAATTTATTCTCAAATGGTTCTCCAGAAGAATGTGGGTTCCCTAGAGCACAAGCATACATGGGAAGAGGAGTGCAATTAGGCAATGTTGACAATTGTAGAATATAGTTGAAGACTACATGAGCTCACAACTTTTCAGTAGGTTTGAAAATTTTCAAAACAAAAGCTGGAAGAAGATAAATAAAGCATTTATGGAGTAAGTAGACTTTGGAATTTAAGTCCAAAACCGGCAAACGTCTCTAAATGTTTTCCACGCAAGAAGGCACATTCTCCAGCTCTTAACGCAGCGTTTGGATTTTTTTCTGACAAGTCCCTGTGAACTAGTCTAGGCCAGAGGTTCTTAATCCTGGGCCTCTGGATGAGCTTCCTGGTTTCCAGGAATCCCTGACACAGTAGGCAAAATATGTGGGTAACTGCGCATGCGTGTGTGTGTGTATGTGTGTGCATTCTTTCCTTAGCATCCATCAGATTCTCAAAGGAAGCTGTGACCCAAAAATGGTTCCAAACCCCTGGTCTGACTACTAGGTCCAACCCCAGTGGGGGCTCCATTCCTTGCCTCCACCCCCCCCACCTCTGACCCCACACACCCTCTCTGCACCTTCCTCTCTTTCCTCACCACCTAACCCACACCCATCTCACGTAACCTGCTCTCACACCTGCTGGGATGCCGAGGATTCACCCACACATCACTCTGGTGCAACACGCTCCTGGATTTGGCTGACACTTCGCTAACTCAGCCCTGAAACCTGCAGCCGGTCCTCCCACGGCAGCACTGAGTACGTTTTTATGATGTGTTGGTAGGTAGGTTGGGCTCCCCATGGCCTTGGTGGAGACCAACCGACTCTCCTTCCTGCCAGCCCACCATACGGTGTGCTTGATGTGAATTAAGATTGGCAATTGGGGATGGTACCAATGCAGTTCTCACTGGAGTAAGTCTCACTAGGATATGAAGAGGGACAGGCCGGTGGCTCTGCAGGGTTGGGTGACAGTGAACCATAATCGACTTTTCCTAATTACCATGTGTGTGTGGGTTTAGGGGTGAGTACAATCCAGGATTACACAAGGGAGAATGAAAGATAGCATCTTGGGTCAAATAGGCCAACAATTTCATACCAACTCTTATGCTCCCAAATTCTATTCTAAACACACACACACACACACACACACACACACACACACACACACACACACCACAAAAATGTAAAACCCTCAGAAGAACATCTTCTGTCTTCACAAGGTCTATTTCTAGAACATTTGAGAGAGTTACAGGCTTTTATCTCATACGGCTGGTTCTAAGAACTTAGTCCAAGAAAATAATATAAATTACGATCAAAGAAATATTAAGAGTGGTGACAATTCATGTGTTCAATATCACTGAATCCTGCAAAAACCCTGAGGCTAAAACCCACTGAATTTGTACTTTAAATGGGTGAATTATATGGTATGTGAATTATAGCTTAAGAAAGCTGTTAAAAAAAATGCTGAGGTTGGAGTTGTAAGGATCCTGTTTTTGCAGTCGAGGAAACCAAGACTCTAATGACATGGAGAATTGAGGCAGAGCCTGGATTTGAACCAAGGCTTTTCTGACCACCAACTCCATTTCTGTAACCCTTTTCTAATTCTACATATCCACCTCCTGAAAGAACCAAAGACATTCGTCATGAAAATCATGAAAGACAAAACAACCCAAATATCCCAAATTGCAGGACCACTTAAATAAATTGTGTTATATCCCTTGCAGTACAGTATTAGGCACCATGAAAAATTATGATTATCCTGAACTTTTAGTGATGAGAAAAATTTTATTATATAAGGCTTT